CGGCCGGGCGCCGCGGCAGCCCCGACCACCGCTCGCGACAACGCGGCAAGCGTTGCCTTTCCTCGCCCAGCGCTGAATCTAGCTCGGGTGAGCCTCCCCCGACGAGTTTCTGCGCTGAAAATTCGCTACTGAGGGTCCCGGTTACAGGAGGAGGGCTCATGCTGGCGCCTACAGGTGTGCCTCCAACTCCGCCTCAGGTTTTTCTCTTAAGAAAAAATAATTTAAAAAGCCTGCTGCCTAAGAGAATGGCATCGGTCTACCAGACAGCAACCAAAGCACCGATACCCCAGAGAGCAGGGGAGTTAGGCGTTCCCCAGGGGAGCTCTGCCACCCTGTAAAGTGCTCGACACCGTATCAGAGAAGGTGCTGTGTGACACCAAAGTGCTGCAAGGAAAAAAAACCTGGCGGTAGAACTCGACCCTGGGAAAACAGAGCATTTCGGGATTTGCAAAGCCTAATGAAAATGTCCCTCTTTCAAGATGTCAAATGTCAAGAAGCCAATGTCAAAAAGTCTGTGACTTAATATTCGGTTTATCTACAGAAAGAAAAAGAGAAATTTTTAAGGTGAGGGAAAGATTTTCAAGCTTAATTATATCAGAGATAGTTTAAAAGGTATTAAAATAGTTTTCATTTTAGTGTAGTTTCAGGTTAAACTTGGTTTGCATAGTTAACTTGCATTACTGTAGTGCACTATAACATGCAATTCTTCTTTAGTAAAGCTTATGTATAATCTTGTAAAACACTGTGTAGTTGTTTTGCAGATAACTGAATACTGTACTAGAGATATGTTATCAGTTGAAAGTACTGACATGTTTTTCCAACTTTTTAGGCACTTAATAGCACTGTACTTTTTTTTTTTTTTCAATATTGTGAAGTCATGAAATAAACAGTGGCAGAATATCTGAAAAGTTGAGTTTTGTTCAACTACCTACATAAAAAAAAAACCCCTCTCTTTTCAGCATCTACCTTTTAAGAACCGTGCTATACTACAGTATAAACATTGAATTAATTTTCCCCGGAGACAATTTTCTTTCATTGAAGCTCTTTCGCTAGCTTAATCTTTGTGGTCTCCTTACCAATCCTGTAAAATATAAAAGAGAATCTGTATGACATTTGCAAAATGGTTATTTATATTCAAGACAACCTATAACCCCTCCCCCCCAAACCACATTGGTCAGTAGCCCTATGATTTTTCTCAGGGTCGTACCGGGATGGCTGAGCTTCAGTGCCTTTCTGCAATGTGCAAGGGACCCATCCTTCCCAGCCCTTGGCTGTCAAGATACATCTTGCCCTGTTTCAGGGCTTTTACAAAGACCAAGATAGTTCTGCTTGTAAAGGCACCCTTCCATCCTCCTACTCTCCATTAGTATTAATACAGCATGTACTTGCAAGCACACGCCTAAGGCTTAACTGCTTTTCTCTGTGTTACTTACGGGATTGTAGAATATTGTCACCTTCATTTACATTCTAGAAAGCAATATTGGAATGAGAGTAAAAAGAAAGAAAAGCTTGAAACTTGACCAAGATTTCAACAAGAACAACATGTTTGTCAGTTTTTTTTTTTTTAAATGATTGTACACCTAGTAATAACTGTTTAATAGGGTATACACTCATTATGAAACTGCAGGTTTTGGTTTTGTTTTTTTATTTCTAGTTCCACTGAATTCTTTCGTTTATGTAGATCACAGGCATGCATTTTGCCTTTTTCTTTTGCATGTATCTTCAGCCATTCCTAAGATGCCTGAAGCCCATTTTTACGTTTTGGAAGAAAAGGTGTTTTCTGCTCCCAAGGGAAGCTTGTTTTTCCTTACATTACACTTTCACATTGTGGAAGCAATGTCATGTGCCCCACTACATAGGCACACGAGCTAGCTAGATGGGCAGTATAAAGTACTAAGCAGGGCTCAAACTATTGTGGGAAAACATTTTGAACTAAAGGTAGGGGACTTCCGCAGTACTGGAATGGATCTTGGGAAGCATTTCCTTTTAAAGCAGAGTTAATCAAAACCAGGCCCAGATCCCTTTTCTGCAAGAGCTCATGAAACTTGCTTTCTTCTAGCATACAAAAGATGCTCATACTTGATGCATAGAAATGCAAAGTTGCTAGTTTATCAGAGTTCAAATAAATCATCACAAGCAGATTATCTTTTATTCAAAGTAGCTTGAGTTGGTTTTATGTGGTAACTGCATACAAGTATCTTATCAAGAAGTGAAATACTTGAATCCACCTTACCTTTTAGACACCATAGCCTGGAGATTCTATTAAAAAATTCTGAAGGCATTTATTAGAACCAGAGAGTTGACTTCAGAAGGAGGTAAGTTGTCTCCTATTGCTTTGAATCTTTTAAATTACTGATGAATTTCCTAAAATAATAAATAGGGCCTGTTTCCAATTTATGTAGGTCCTGTAATCTAGTTAGATTGAGATTGCTTTATAAAGCAGTGAACAGATACTTTTACTTTTTTATTTAAAATTTTTTTTAAAAAATTATTTATTTTTACAAAAAACCACAAAGGTTGCTTAGACCATTGATACAACAATACAATCCATTAAGATTTTTAACAGCCACCACTTTATTTCATTCTTGTTCGATAATTCTGGGCTACTGAAAAAGTAAGCTATAGAGATTATTATCTACAATGCAGAAGCTTAAAATAATTTACTGTTTTCATAAATATTCTTATTACTGAACATCTTTAAGACACGAAAAATGTAAGATGATAACAGAATGTACTAGAAAATAGCCTTCTTTACTATTACAGGAACATCGAGGTACTACTGCATGGCACCAACCTGACTCAGTTTGAGGAAGAGGAGCTGCCCAACTGCAATATAAAGGTGGAAAAGTACATGGCTGAAATATTTCCAGTTAAAAAACCCTGAAACATCATCTTTACGGACTGAAAACATGAATTTTTAGAAGTCTTAGTTTTCATAGAACAGAAATATTCAGAATTGTAGCAAAGTCTCACAAATTTATTGTTGTATAAAAACAGATTCAATCACAAATAATCAGGCTGAAGTCTTGTCAAATACAAAATGAAGTATAAAAATAGAACACAATATACAAGACTAGAAGTAGTTAAATATTACTGAAATCAAAGTAACAATGGAATAATTGCTATTTACAAAATCTTGCCTAATCTCTGAGTCCATCTTGAGCTACAGTAATAATTTCTCTACCTTTTCAGGAGATTAACATGCAGATCTGACAGCTGTAAATAATGCAATGGAACAAAAGTATACAAATATATGTACAGTGAGGCACAGTGCTTTGTAAAAACTTCGTTAAGCAGTTGTTATTGTGAAGAGTTGTTTTTCATCACTTGCATATTAGAAGACTTGTCTCATCCTCTCCTTGCCCCCTCCCACCCCAGGTAATTTAAGAGTTAACTGCAAATTCAGAAAGAAACAAGCTGATTTTAATACAATGGTCTCCTCAGAAAAAAGCAACTTTGCTGTTTAAGTTGTGACAGTTGGTCATTAAAAAAGGACTTCTTGCTATGTGATACACAAATTATGGAGAAAGATAGTGTGAAGTAGTCCCCCATTGATTAGTTTGTGCATTTAATATTATAAATGCACTTATTGGACAAGCACCGAACAAACCCACATTTCAGCTGTGGAGAGCAATATCATGACAATAGATATATACATTATTTTAAATACTTATAGGAATTTAATATACAAAGGGCTCTGAATATACAATAAAATAATGTGGTAAAAAAAAAAAAAAAAAAAATCAAACTATGGTGAGAATACCACCATTAGGCACAAAGTATTTCTGGTGTTAGCAATTTTAAGGGAAGCCCAAAGACAGGTCGTTTATCATTTGTCTGGGTATTTCAAGATGAATCCCTTCAAGATAATGCAAGAACCTATAAAAAGAAAAGTAAAAGTGACTATAAGGGAACAAAGTTTTTTCCAAATATGAGGGAACATTTTTATTATTTAGAGAGGCAAACGTTCACCTTTCTTGTCTAGAATTATTTGACACAATATTTTAATAAAATTCTTAACTACCTTGCATATTGCAACGTAGCAAGATTTAGGAAAAACAAAACACTTACCTTCTTTTAGCCTTCCCTTGCTCTTTAAGCTTCTCAGACCTGCAGATACTGCGAAGAGTGGGGAGGTATTCAAGTATGCTGGCTTGCTTATTACCCAGGTTTAAAGGACTTCTGGAAAATACAGTTCTGATGACTGCCAGCCTCTTCTGTGCTTTTTTGTGAATGCTAAAATGAGAACGAAGCTTTATTGTTTCTTGTTCAAGAATGTGCAGTCCCTATTTTGTTCCTTTAACATCAAATCCACTGGTTTAAAACTCTGTTAAACATCCTGACTTCCAAAACTGTGTCCCAACGGATTAGATGCCTGCAACTTCTGGTAGTGTGTTTCTTGC